TTTTACTGCACCGTTGCATCGCATTGCCAACCTCATTTGCATTAAAATAAGTTCCACTTTTATCTTTTACATACATTCCACATTGAACCAGAAAGTGAACCAGATCAATTGCTGGTTCATCCAATTGTTTTTGTTTCGCATGTAAAATTGAACGGATCATGTTTGCTGAAACGCAGCTATTGTTTGACCTTGTGACTTATTAATAGTCATGGCAAATGCCAAGCGAATTGGAAATTGCAGACGTCTGAATAGAATGGGTGAGTCTGAAGGGATCATTGGAGTTCGTGGCAGGAGAACACCTTCACCTTCAAATTTCCCATTCAAAATTGTAGCTTCAAGTACATTGCCCATAATTTTTTTTTTAATTTAAATTCCGCAGTATAATTATAGGTGAGCAAATTTTTAATCTTAAGTTATGTGGTGGCATTCCTGGTAAATCCAGCGAATTCAAAAGTTCAACAGGATAGTTGAACGATTCATTTTAGAGACTTTAAACTTTTTAAACAAATCAAAGTAAGCATGAATAAATTTTAAAAGCTTCATATAAATGTATATGAGTAACATAATCGTATTAATCCGCCCCTGCCTTTCTTTAGTTATTGTAAACTGCTTCTATAAATTTGGAGAAACTGTTTAATGGCATGATCAACTCATCGCCCTTTAAATTGTTGCTACATGTTTACTCCAAATTTATAGAAACGATAAACTAGCATGTTTTAAAACAACTAAGGTACTATATTGTATAATGAAAAATAAGAAATAAATACTTTAACTTCAACAAACGAGTTGAGAAGAGATATTTAATACTAAATACATTACTTATGAATGTATATACCAAAAAACTTTATAATAATTAAAAAAACATTATCCAGTGGGCCAAATTGTGAATCTAAACCATCCTTGAATCCACTTGAACACACACACAAAAACTTCATCAAAATCGGTTCAGCTGTTTAGGAGGAGTTCACTGTCAACACACGAACAGAAGAATTATATATGTATATAAAGATATATATATATATGTGTATAGTCAAACTTCCATAACTCGAAGTACCATTTTGCAAAGAAAAGGTTCGACTAATGGAGACTTCGAGTAAGAGAACATTTATTTTTTTTTTTTTGAAAGAAATTAGAATTACATTTTAAGATATTTATTTATTTACTTGAAATTAAACATAGCACAGAAGTTATACTGAAGTAAAAGATTCAGAAATCAGGGTTTGGGATTTTAATTTTTTTTTCTTATTCTCAGTAAAAATTGATTCCAATTAATTTAAACTCTTATAGTGATTATCAGTTATAGTATCATTCGTCAGAACTTTCAATGAGTCTTCCACTTCATTCTTGCAAAGTTAATGAATAATTTCATCCACCGAACCCTCATTATCACTTAAAGAAAGCAGAATTATATGTAAAGTGATTTTTAAAACCCTGTTGCACTCTTTTTGGTTCTAGTTTTAGAAAATTCGAGTTTAACAAGTTCGAGTTATGAAAGTTTGACTGTATATGAGTCATTCTTTTACAAATCGTACGGATTTTGGTAAAAATGACCTCATGATCTTCGATTTGACTGAATTTTTTTTATGAAATAAGAAGACGTATGTCGGAAAAAATTTTGTAATTTTATTCCTATGATATATGGACTCATGAGGTTTTGAGAATAGGCATTGTAGACACATTTCCAAATGACCATATCTCAAGTTTTATAAATGATATGAACTTGAAATTTACTGCGTTTTAAAGATGAAACTTGTTGATATTTAAGTATTTATATTAAATGTTAAATTTCAAAATATTTTTTTCTCAAAACATCTACCCAAAATTTTCATTTCAGGTCGATATCATACTTAGAAGTACTTCTAAAAAATTAATTTATCCTCCACATCATACTAAAGGAATATGTCACACAAATTTTTCGTTTTTACTTTTTATTCAGATTAATCAATAAATTCTACTTAAGAAATAAATAGTTCTAGTATCATAATACTTTTAGAAGTAATTAAAAAAAATTAATTTATCGGACGTCCTTCACGCACTGTAATACCATGAAATCAATTTTCCAAGAACAACGACACAAAAATGTTTGCTTTTTATTTCTTAATTAAATTTATCATTAAATTTGACATAAAAATGCAACTTTTAATAAAAATGCGTTTTTATTAACCCACCGTCCGGCGCGTAACGTTTTAGTAACACAGTCCGTCGCGTGGGGTTGTTTAGAACCCCATTGTAAAAGTTTATTTATCAACAAAATTTTTTGAAAAAATATATACTTTTTGATGGTAATATTTAGTTTCGTACGTCAACAAATAAAAAAACATTGATTTATTTCAATAATATAATTTTTAATAATAATAAGTCATTTTCATAAAACTTGTATTAAATTTTCTTGTTTTTTTTGGAGTTTTTTAGTATACTTATCATTAAATACAAAACGACAATAATTTTCTTTTTTATTTTAATGAATTTTTAATTACTAATAAGTGGAAAAACTGTAATAAAAGAAAAAAGTAAGATGTTCGATAGTTAAATAAAAAATTTTACAGCTCGAAATTGCATGTTTTTAATTTGCGCAATCTTTGCAAATTGTTTCTCTGTGTCTTGGACAGAGAGCTTTTTGCAACCAACACATATTTTTGTGTGTTTTCTATATTGTGTGGAGATTTATGTAGTCCAGCAATATAGAGGATGCCAATTAAAGCTTTCATTTCGATAGTGTTAGTTTCACTCGCATCACGACTCGAGATTCCATGTTTCAAAGATAGCTTCATTACATGTTGCTTTAGGCCCTGGGAGATGAGATATAATGTTGCATTGATGTGTTCGAACAGCTTTACGTGGAGAATCTTTCTTCCATTTATAAGCAAATGATTTATTTTACTATTTTGTTTGATCGGTAGTATTTAATTCTAGAGTTATACAACTGTGAAAGAGGAATGTCATCATCACTACTTGCTATTATATTTTCTGTTGTATTAGAATCACATTCATGTTCTGTTTCGGAATTATGTTCACAAATTTCAACGTGATCAATTTCAATTTCACTTTCTATAAAAATATATATGTCTAGCAAATCACTTTATCAAAATTAGAATAAATATTCTTTCTACCGCTACTTCTATCAGAGTTGTCTATTATTTCAATATCGCAGTCCTCATTTAGACATCTCAAAATACGAGCTTTTGAATTAGATTCATTTCTTTGCAAAAAAAATTTAGTAACATACTAAGTCATGTGGGGTCAAAAAGCACCCAACAAAACAAAAAACACCTGTTATTCATAACCGCTGATCATAAACTGAATAAAACTCAATGGAATGGGTTTAGTACAGAGTTTTATGAAGCTATGTTACATAAAAATACAGCAGCGTGGTATATTGTCAGTGGTGAATTATGTCGTTTTTGTCAAAATGCAAGGCTTTTTTTCACCCCATGCGCCGGACGGCGGATTAAACAAATTAATTCCGCGTCATCCATTTTTGAATTACAAATTTGAAATTTTTAATATTCATTATTTATCGATGACCAAATATCATCAGTCTCTCAAACTTGACATATAATAAATCAAAGCCATTACACTTTGACTCTGCGTAAATATGTTTTGGACTTAACAGATACCAATCCTCCATTGGGGCAGTAATATACTTGGCATTAACAACGTGATCAGATATATTACACTAGTTTTCAAAGCTATTGCACTGAAACACAGGTTCACATGCAGGACATGAAGCAAAATTCAAGCACATTTTGCGCTACTTATCGTAGGCCATGATGAAAAAATTATATTATCGTGCAACTGGCAATGCGGAGGCAATGGAATTGACCGCAGGTCCTATATAGGATCTGTGCTGTCCTTGAGACTTACCATTGGAATTCAAAAAAAGAAAAGCAAAATTCAAGCACATTTTGCGCTACTTATCGTAGGCCATGATGAAAAAATTATATTATCGTGCAACTGGCAATGCGGAGGCAATGGAATTGACCGCAGGTCCTATATAGGATCTGTGCTGTCCTTAGCAGATTGAGACTTACCATTGGAATTCAAAAAAAGAAAATGCTGTTGTATTGCAATTACATTGCAATGATATTGATATATATTTTCAAAAACGATTAAATGTAATTTTGTTGTTCGTGCACTTAGTAGTATAATTTTTTTCTATTTTTGTGTATTTTTGTGTATTGCGAATAATAAATTTGAGAAAAGGTATAGGATATTTGCCAACTCTAAAGTTTATTAAGTAAATGAAATAATAATATAATCTTAACTTAAGTTTGTGCTTAAGTTTTGAAAGACATATTTTTTATTTCTTCTATACAAATTATATAACACTCTGACCCCTCTCCCATCACGAAGCCCGTAAATTCTAAATTGAGTCATAACGAAAGTTAATATAAAGTTTATACTCAATGCTTCAGTCTATCTGTTTGATTAGAGAACAGCGTTGATTGCGAGTGTTTTTTTAGCTGTTTTACATAAAAAAAACTTACTTTAGCAGTACTTCAAACCATCAATGAATATAACATCTGTGAGCTAAAAAAGTGGCACTATAGTCGATGGACGAATTGGAAAACGTATATTTTTAACCAGTGGTTAACTAACTAGTAATTTAGACTGATGTGAAAAGACTAGCTCGCAGTATGTCATATTCCACACACTTTAAACACAACTGTTTTGTTCAACTATTGTATTTGTTTATTCGAGTGATTCACTTATTAACAAAACGCTTGAAAATACGTGTTCAAGCAACACACAATTTGCAAATATTTTTATTATAGATATTTATTATTATTATTATTCGTCATTAGAAGTCTTAACATACAACTAAATATGTAAAATATACTATAGTATTATATATTTTGCAAAGTAATTTGTAAAGTTATAAACCTTGCATAAGGTTCAATACATAAAGAATACATACAATATATATACAATGTATATATAACTAAGATTATACATATATTTTTAAATATTTTAAAAATAAGGCAAAATATTTTTTGGTATTTTTCGATTATGACCTTTGGTCATGCTTTCTTATTTTCTACTTTATTTTAACAATTTAATGTACAAAACTAAATAATACTTATTTTATATCATTTATTAGTTTAGAGCTTAATACCATAAGTTTCAAGTTTAACCGCGGCTTTATATTTTATATTTATTGCATATTTTTTCTAATATTAATTTTATATTTCGAGGATATAATGGGCTTTTCTTCTGCGCTTACATATGTGTAAGTAAGATTATTCGATTGTGGATTTATTTCAATTTTGCTTGGTAAACTTTCATGCTTGTCAAATTCTTCGACTTCGACTTCATCTTCTCTCTCTATTGTTTCTAAGCCTCCAGAATGGTATCGCCGTCCACCAGAGTAATTCGATTCATTTCTTTTTCTTCCTCGCGTTGGTACATATTGCGATTTACAGACTGAAAAGCATTGTTCGTCTTTCGTACTTTTGAAACTTCCTCTTTTAGGCAGTCCTTTGGAGAATTCAAATAGCATGTGGCTTTTGTTTTCGTTTCTAACGCAATCGGTTGAAGTTGCAAGCAATTTAAGCTCTTGCTTTGGTGATCTGCATTGGATATTTGGGACACCAGAGTTCGACTGTGGTTGCTGCTCATTGCTGCATCTTTCCATTTCTCTAAAACAAATAAGTGACTTAGCGAAAAGTATTCCTAGTACAGTACAATTCAATTACGTACCTTTGCCACTATTTTCAGTGAGTGGCTTGGTGAAACTTAACAGTTTCGAAATTTTACATGTAATAACTGTTTTATATGCTTTACGATATTGCTTATTCATAATAACATAAATAATTGGATTAATACATGCGGAAAGATACAACATAATGTAACTAAATATATGAAAATTGGGATGCTCAACATTTCTATCAGCGACTTTTGCTATTGTAATTGGCAAATAACATACGACAAATGACAAGAATATGGCTAATACCATTTTGGTTATTCTCCATTCATTACGCTTCGATTTTATTTCACGTGGTTCTCTTACATCTGAAGGCTTATGTATAGCATCGACTTTGATATCCGATGAAAAACTACTATCAGAGGAGATTCTGTTAGATCGCATATCTTTGCCAATACCTGACGCAGGTGTTGACCGTAAATTGTTTGGAATGGAGTTCTGTTTCTTTGTGTGATGTTTAAGCCTCTGCTCAGATTTACGAACAACCCAAAATATTTTTGTATAACAAGCTATAATTATGATACATGGTATGACGAAAGCTGTTATAAATAAGGTCGTTTTACTACTATGCCCAAGTTCATCATTCATAATTGAGCAAGTCCCTAATTTGGGATCATAACCAAATGTTCCCCAAACGCCTAACAAAGTGGGAAGTTGCATTCCATAAGAAAACATCCAGCAAAAAATTAACATTAAAGCGATCCAATGTTTTTTATATATTTTTTCATAACAGCTGTGATGAGCAATCATTACATATCTGCAAGAAAAATACATTAATGATAAACTCGAAATTATTTTATATTATGATTATAAGCAAGAAAAATGAAACTAGGTATATTCAAATTATATTCTACGTACCTGTTAATTGTTATCATACCAATACATAACAAAGACACACCCACATTTCCATACTGAATAAATGGAATTAGTTTGCATAATAATTCACCGTGTGTCCACGTCCCTTGAATGTAGCGTATACCACTAAATGGTAAAACTAACATACAGAATATTAGGTCTGCAAGACATAAGCTGTAAAAGAAATTATAATTACACACGACAATAAAATATATGTTAATACCTTATAATAAAAGCTGCTGCAACATTTCTTACTTTTGGATATTTAATTAGTGCAATTATTGTTAACAAATTACCACAGATACCAACAACCATGATAACAAAGGTCATCACAGCTGCAAAGGTGAGCATCGACGAAGGAAATCTACAAAAAAAGTTAAGTTAGAAACTAAGTTTGAATCAATGAAAATCTCAACTTAAAAATATAAGAGCTTATTAACATATTATTGTTGGACAAAATGAAATAGTTTATTTAATTGTTATAAAACAATGTGTTAATGAAAATATTAGCGATTTATTTAGTTATTTCATTTAAGTTTATAAGTTCTTAAAAAACTGATAAGTTATAAACGACATCCACACTGCATCACGCAGACGCTTTAGGTTCGTTGGTTTCTGATGATTTCTGCCTGCAAATAGCCATATCAAATGGGTACATATTGGGTACATAGACTGGGATAGATGAATAAATATTGATGTTGATTCAGCTGTCAATAAGTGTTTAGCTATTATTATTGTCGTAGCTGTGTAGGTGCTAGAAGTACAGTGCCACCATCTCAAAAAGACAAAATCAAAATGAAGTGAAAAATTTTATAAAGGAGCTACTGTTGTAACTAATTAGAGTTAAATAGATTATATGACTATGAGCCATATCTAATTTAGTCATGCGTTGTTTTAGTATATGGCGATTCTCTCTCTCTATCTCTATCTCTCTCTCTCTCTATTCTAATATTTACTCTCATATTCGACCTCCAATCACGCATTTTAATTATATTTCTTGATTTATTGCAAGGTAAATCAAATATCACGGCTGACACATCACAAACTGTGATAGTTTTGGCAATGGACCTTTGTGCAATTCATATTTAATTTCTATCCAACCAAAAATATATCATAGATATGTTAAATTTTGTGTTATAAGAAAAATGTCCATTATTATTGGTTAAATTTATTTAGTAAATCTTCAAATTTTATTATTTTTATTTAATTTTTCCTGGTTTATAACATCGTAACCGTAGTTCGTCTTGAAGAACGAGTGTCATGTGATTAGATAATATAAGAATCTCTACTGTAGTTTTAAAACTTCTGCATTAACTCCGAGTTATGTAGCTAAAAGCTTGCTTGTAAGTCAAAAGTCAAAACTTATACGAGCGGGGGTAACAATTATATTGTGCTCCTGCAGCAGATAGGGAATTGAATGAATGTGTGAAAAATATTGTTTTTCAAGTAACAGCTCCAGATTTAAATATAGAAATTAAACGTAGAAAACAGATAACAAGAAAGGTTTTTAATAAGACCACCGTCGAATTGAAAAAGTTAATTAAGACCTGTCTTATCCAGTGGCACAATATTTTTACTAGGGCTATATGAGACCTGCAGAACACAAAAGAAATAAAGAAAATAGTAAATTAAATTAATCACCTACTTTAAGGCCATAGGGTAATTGACAGCGACCGCTATTATTCTTAAATTATTTCGATTTAGTTGCAAACAATACTTCAATCGTTTTAGGTTTAATGTCTCTATAAACTATATTTATTGTGATAGCCCTGGTATGTTCTTTTAGTATAATATTTTATATCGCATAAATATGAAGTTGAGAAAATATGAGAAGATATGTGGGAAACTTGGTCCCAGTGAAAAGGTAGCAACGGTCTCTGAAAAACAAGCTGAACAAGCTTGAGGACCAATAAGGAAATTGGTAAGGCGCAAAAATGCATCCTCGATAAGATATACAAAATTTGTCGAGTTCCTGGCGTATGGCCTCACTTTGTTGTTTACAGTTTAAAGCTCAAATGGTTTACCATAAACTGTACGGAGGACGAAACTATGACCTGGTTTAAGGAGATAGTTCCAGCCCGGAAGCCGTGGCCGTGGAACCCAACTGACGTGGCAGAAGTGCCAAAGTCCGAAATCTATGTTAGCTACTTCCCAGGCTCAGCTTCTTGGCAAAATGACCGAATTTTGGCGCAAATTGAGTGCCAAAAATTCGGACATGCATGTCAGAGAGTGGCGGGTGCTTCACTGACTCCATAAGTGCGATTTCGTCGAGATGGCGATTGCTGACAGAAGCTTTACCATGTCATGTGTGTTGAGACTAAGAGAATTATCGACGAACTCGTTTCTTGGTGATCACACCATTAGAACTCTTACTGGTTCGTAAAATCTTTACAGTCAATAAAACTAAATGGGCCATCTCCACTTTTAGCACGTTTAAATCACCTGGTATCGATATTATACAACCATGTCTCCTTCAAAACGGCGTTGATATATTGACACCGATATTAACAAAAATATTTGAAATTAGTTTTGAGTTAGGCACGATACCTAAACATTGGACAAAGGCTAGGGTAGCTTTCCTACCGACAGTCGGATCACATGCCAAAAGTTTTCCGGCCCATCAGCCTCACTTCTTTTCAGCCTAAAGCGATGGAGAAGATTCTAGACCAATATATCAGGGAAGTCTACATTAAAGCTTCATTTCTCCATATTGAGCAATATGGTTACTAGTCGGGAAAATCCACTGAAACCACTATACGTAGTCTAACTAGTAAAATCGAGAATGCTGTAGACATGGATTCTCAATATGCTGAGAAATATAAGGACAATCTTTGAAATGGAGGTCTTGCCTGTCAAGTTAACCAAAAGATGCTCTCAAGGAGGCATTCTATCACCACTCGTATGGCTATTTATCATTGACGTGCTTTTATTGGAAGACCTCATATACGAAGTTTAGGGCTTTGCAGATGATACTATTATCATGGTTAGAGGCAAATTTGATTCTACTATAACCGATCGGATGCAACTAGATCTTGACATCACTCAAGATTGGTGTCATAAGTAAGGACTCTCGATTAATATAAATAAAACAATCTAACAGGACACGCAAAAATTCTGGAATTCTCCGTACCTTAAGATCTTTGATAACATAAATAAAATAGTAGCTTTCTCCAGGGAATTCGAAGTGATCAATCAGTAACCGATCAATTTGGAGAAATAATCTTAAAACAGAGCTTACAATTATGGTATACTGATGGGTCTAAAATGGAAGATGGCAGTGCAGGAGCACGAATTATAGGACCGAAATTCCGCAAAGCAATCGTAATGGGAAAAACCGCTTCAAATATTCAGACAGAGATCCATGCCTTAGACCTATATGCGAGAGAGTGCCTACACAGGAGCACCCGAGCTACCAAAATACGCATTCTTTCGGACAGCCAAGTAGATCTAAAATCTTTAGGAAACTCCTCATTCCAATGAAAGTTGGTCTGGGAATGGTTTCAACTTTTCAATGACCTACCATCAAGAAATTATGTTAATCTTATGTGAGTACCGGGACATGAAGGGCATGAAGGCAATAAAATATCAGACTCCCTAACAAAGAAGAGTACATGTAGCCCTTTCATTAGTTCAGAGCCTTTCTGCGGCGTAACAAATAGCTTCACAAACAACTTATTATGTGAACAAAGAAGACAAAGAAGAGTACATGTAGCCCTTTCATTGGTCCAGAACCTTTCTGCGACGTAACAAATAGCTTCACAAATAACTTGTCATGTGAATAGGAGAAACAAAATCTACTTGACTACTGAAGAGCCCACACAGACATGCAGTCAAGAAGATTCATTGATCCTGAACACATCAAAGTTGACGGTATTCTTGACCTTAGCAGAAACGATATTAAACTCTACACTAAACTTCTTACAGGACACTGTAGACTTAATTACCTTATGAAGAATTAAGGTGTGGTAGAAAGTGATTCCTGTCGACTCTGCCATGAGAAGAAGGAAACATCAGAATATATTCTATGCAGCTGCCCAGCGGTGGCAAGAGGTAGACTTGACTACCTTAGAAGCAGGATCTTAGAAAATTAAGCCTACACCGTTTATGAGATTTATAAATAGTCTAGAATTGTTTTAGTTGGGCCTTTAGGCGCAGAATAAATTTTAGGTCGGAGTGGATCCATAGCCTATTATTTAATAATAATAATATTTGCGTCCGATATTTTCCAACTTTTGTAAAAATAATTAAGTGCCCATCAGTAAAAATGCTTATTTTCTCAAATTTAACAAAATCAATAAACTTTCAATAAAACCAAAAATTAAGTACAACTATTCGAGTTGAAATCCGAAATGTAATTTATTTTACTTTTTATCAAAATGAGCGTGATGGCTACAAGTGTAGATTTGTAGTTGATAAACTCAAAAGTAGGAATGTTTTTGCAGCTAAAGTAGTGTCAACCACCGACTTATTATACATTCTTTAAAATAAATAATAACAAATAATGGAGTTGTTCACATAATCTGCATGAAAATTTATATGAACATTGGACTTTTCGGTCCGACTTAGGATCATTGAGATAGTGGCAATGTTACAAATCGTTGGCATATTGAAATAGCGTGCCCTAATTAGAACAAGTAACACAGGTCATATCATCCCAAAATCTTGCAAGTAGAATATATCGTTTTGATTGGACGTCTATGTTATGTATCATAATGAATTTCTACAATAATTTAATTTCAAGAACTAGTATGGAATTCATATGACTGGAATCTTTCGCTAATCAACTTTTTAAATAACTATGTTTATAATATTTCCATGTTGTGATTATGCCTGAATAATATTAATAAAAAAATAAACATTCTTGTTAAATGAACAGAATTTTAGTAACATACCTATTTTCCTCTTCAGTTGGCATTATAATGGTAGGAAAATTACTACCTTCAGTTGTAGAATTCATTCTGAAAAATTTAAAATATTGTTAAATTAATTAAATACTTATGGTAAATGTGAAATGACTTTAAATTTTTTAGATAGATTTTTTAGATAGATGTAATTGTTTAGAATAAACTAACTAGAACTTAAACATGTTCTCTTTAATCCAATTTTATTAATTGCTTTAAAATACAGTAAGCAACTTTTTCTGATTTTGGTTTAAAATATATCTAATTTGTAAACTTTAATACTCTACGGAAATTGACGTTGAGCAACACCACCATCTTCGTTGCAATAAAGAAGAAACTCTCCGAGCCGTTTGATACCAAACGAAGTTTTAGACAGGGGGACTCCTTGTCGTGTGACTACTTTAACCTAATGTTGGGAATTCGAGTTAATCCGAGAAGCAGATTTAAATCGCACTACACAATATTTCACAGAATTGTTCTCTTTGATTTACTCTGCTACATTGATTGTCACTCATCTGTTCTATGCTGTTCGACCTCATTTGTTCGGTACTATTATTTGTACTATTATTATACTATTATTATTATCAACGACAACGCTAACTCAAATTTCCTAAATAAATTTCATTAACATTTATAAATAAAAATTAAAGAGCTTGCAAGCTGTTTTATATATAACTTTAACTTTTTATTAAATTTAATCTATTTTCTAGAGAATATCAAATGACTACATAACTACTTATTAATAGAAAATATTCAGGATAACAACTAAACATTATTTACGTCCACATATTATCATTACAGTTATATTAATGATCATTGAGCATATATTGTTAACCTTTTGCAAATGTTTAATTGCATTTCGAGATCCCTATATTTTAATCTGTTATTTAAAATGGTATGAGCACTCCAAGAACTGAAGAACTGGTGTTTCTTCTTACTTAAATAAAAATTGTTTTATGGAAATTAATGGTAAAAATTTGTTTACAACTGAAAACTTCGAAAAGTATATAGACCAATAGGTTAAAAATTATTGGAAGCTTTATTTTTATATGCTTGTATATTTAATTATTGTATCTTCTCTTTAAACGAGACTAATTATAACTTGTAAAATATTATCACTAATAACATAACATTACAATATAAAATAATATAAGTAAACCTTATATTACGGATCTCACTTAGATTCGTGGGTTGAATTAGATTAGATTGGTGGGTTGAGGTGCATTATTAGGAATCCATTAAACTATATGAGATAACTAAAAATAAGAGAGCGGTATTTACTTGAATCTATTGAATTTTAATTAATGGCTGGACGGTCAGTTCTTTTTAGGCGGGAAATAGTGGATTAAAATACGCGATTCTTAGCTAAGGGGTCTTAACTAAGGGAATTTGTAGATCTCGGTGGATTTTTTTATTTCTAATATACCATCGAGCACCAGTAATTGTTCTCAGTATTTTTGACTGAGCTCTTTGGATAATTTCAATATATGAAGCACAATATTACCAAATAACATAAGACTATACCATAATACCATAAATCCATATCGGCTGTTATACAAAAATACCTTATACTCTAGCTATATTCGAGCTTCATTTGTAGTTTTTTAGCTTCAATGTGTTTGCACTAATTTAGTCGTCTGTCCAGGTGTTGGAGATATATTCCGATTTAAGTTAAAAATGACGTGTCTGCATTTTAGTTCATTAATTTTAATTCGTCATTTTGACATCTCTTTCTCCACCCAAAACAGGTGCGACTGAAGTTGGTTTGAAGCTAGCATAACGTTTTCGTTTCGACATAAAATTGCCGTATCATCGGCAATCGTTGTGGTGATAATTGAATTACTTATTAGGATATCATATGTGTAAGGTACATACAATATAGAGCCCAGAACACTTCCCTATGGAACGCTAGCTTCTATTGGAAAATTAGTAGAAGTAAATGATTTATATTTGACTTTAATAATTCTGTTCTGTAGATACGATTATAAAATTATGTGGACAGTTGCGGGTAAAGACAGCGTATTTTATATATGATCCCATTTTGCCATACTTTGTCAAATACTCGTTATACATCCAGAGATACCACAGAACAATATTCTCTGAGCTCAAATGCGTGTCTTATTTCGTTCGTTATACGATTAAGTTGCTCAATGTTTATCGCTAAAACCAAACTGGTGCGAGGATATCCTACGGTTTTGACTGTCAAAGAATGGTTTCAGATTTAAAAACAGTGTTCTTTCAAAGAGTTTAGAAAGACATGGCAGTAAGCTTATTGGCCTGCATGAAGAAGCAATCGTGGGATCTTTACCTGATTTGTAATAATTATAATCATGAATGTTTTCCACTCTGTTGGGTAAAAGACAAATTTAATAACGGCATTAAAGTCTTATGGCAAAATTTATGGCCAAAAAAGGTAATTTTTTTTTACCACGATAACATCTCATGTCATCATATCCCACTGTGTTTTTACAATCTAAGTTATTGGTGATTATTTAAACAAGATCATTGACCGTAATTTTCGTTAGAACACCTATTTTAATTAACCAGCAAATGCTTTAGATTTTGTTTCATCGATTCTTGCCCAATTTCCGAGAGAGTTTCTTATTGAAAAATCTGATTCTATGGGGGAATTGATATATTTTCTGTTTTGTGCTATTTGGACATAGATTTTGAATATAGTTATATTGCCTGACTTTAGTTTCTCTGCTTAATGCAATTGCAGGTTTTTGGACATCCTTGAATAATGTTTTCGCTGAAGGGGACCTATATTTTGGTCATTTACGCCTTAACCTACGGTTTTGTGATACTAAATATTCTATGTTACTATTTGTATTTACTTTATTGCATATGTAAATTTTATTATTATTTTATCAGAGTTGCATTGTATCTTGCAATTTGCGAATATGTGTGAACTACTATACTTTTTATATTTGAGCCAGTTTGTTTTAGGACTTGTAAGGTTATAGGACGAGTAAGCAACGATAACTGCATACGAATGATCCACGAATTGTACGAGCTTTATCACGACATTGATATAATTGAGCGAATTAACACCTAGCGGCTTCGCGGGCTTCGTCATGTCGTGAGAATGAATGAAGATGCTCCAGTGAAAAGGGTATTTGAAGCAGTAGTTGACGGAGGAAGACGTAGAGGTAGACCGTATCTCTGGGGAGTTAATTAAGATAAGGGAGCTCTAACCCACCTTTATGTACGAGACTAGAGAACGCAGCACGCAGCAAAGATTCGTAAAGAGACATGATGTGTAAGGCCGAAACGCAATAACGGATTGTTATGGCCACATAAGTATGTAAGTAAGGCTATAAGAACAGTCATATAACTGAGGACCATCAAGTAAACAAAATATAACTGGAGAATGGTCAGAAGACAGGTCGCATTTAGTGTATGTTGAGCTAAAATTTCTAATTATGCCTTTGGATACGACGAATTTTATTAGGATTGGTAGTTTATTGTTATCTACAGGCTAATATATTGACTGCCCAAAAGAGATTAAATCTAGTGCAATTTTATTTAAAATGGAATTGTAAAGCTGTTTACCTTTTGGATTACAGAGCCGTGTATCCTAATACGTATGCTTGGCGCTGTAGTCTCGTGCTGCAAGAAATCTGTCACCTAGAGTTGAGAAGTAATCCGTAAATTGGGTCTCAGTAATGTTGAAACTATGGGGCAGTAAACTGCCGACAGAGTCAAATTTTTTCCCTTGTGCTTAATGCATACCGATGTGGCTTGCATGTAGTTATTGGCATATATACCTTACAATTTGTGTGATTGGTTTTGTAGAACAAATAACCAGAAAAAGAAAAGAAATTTTTGTGTAGACATCATAACATCCACACTTTGTCGAGATATAAAGTTTGTGAGCTCTAGTTTATGAAAGTTTAAGTCGTTTGCATTCGATGTACAAATATTTAAAGTACTCATTTATTAGACAAAAACATTTGCATTATTTGACTTAGCATATTAACTATCTCGTTAAGAATAGTTTGCATGACTGACATAAACTGAGTTAAGGTCTGGGTGAGAGTGAATATCATAATTTCCAAACTATTGAACTGGAGGGGCTTATTGCTTATCAAATTTAATGAAATAAGCATATGAAACACCTGGAGTAACAAGCTTAGAAGACAAAGGTTAGGGTATTTGAACTCATTCAAGTTCTTGTAGGTTTGCGTAAGGCTTCTTTCTGCAGAGCTAACCTGTGCTTTATAAATAGGACAGCCTCTGTAGTTTGCGCTGTAATTTCGTCTAAACTTGCTTTATTTTTTGGAGTATCTTGTAATGCTTTATTGCAAGTTAAAAGTCAAAAAGTTATTTTGGAAACCAAAAATATATTTAAATATTAGAACACACATACAAATATAATATATAATTATAGCATTTATCTAAAAACAAGTTATAAGCACTGCCGGTTATACCACATGTGATACGAACTACATGGATGTCGCTTTAACAATTATTAGTAAAAACATGGAACCATAACAGATACTACTTTCATAAATGTAAATAATAGATATTTTCAAGAATTTTTCATTTCAAAGAATCGTAATCAATTGACATCGAGGATGTCAAAGAATTATAAAATCGAAAAAAACAGCTTTCCTTCTACAGCTTTCCAATATCCAAACAAGCCACCCTAGTGTGTGTGAGCACCTTTTGTAAATCTTACAACAGGCGAAACCGTAATCGTGTAGTTACTGTAATTAACTCTTCAAAGTAAAGGAAAGAAAATAATCGCCGATACAGGGGGCCTCCCTGTGGCTGTTACAGGGAGGCCCCCGAACTTAATGTGTGAAATTGTTTTTTTAACCAATTTCTACCACTGCGAGTAAATCAAATATTTATTAATACATAAATAGTGTAGTTAATAAATAGTGACTATTCAAGGGTCAATTGTGTGTGATTTTGTTGTGGTTCCTGGGACCTGAAATGTATATAAAATATGAAATGCTACACATAAAGTTATTAGTTTTCTATTCATTTGTTGCAAAAATTATTTTGAAAAAATTTCGGCACATTTTTTTAATTATCGCAGATGGAAGTAGTCTTTAAAGTCCTTAAAAAATGCTCGATTTCTACTTCATTTTCATTTATACAATTTAAATTACTCTCACTATTTCTTTACTCATAAATATAAAATGCATCATGATCTAATTTTCTGATTATGATCTGATTAGACTAAAATTTATAGTAGGCACTAGAGTAAGAAACTGTAATTTCGTTATAAATCCACAAAAATGCTAATATACTTATTGCACAAAGTTGTTATTTTATCAGGGTTTGAATTGCTGTGACTATTTGCATTGCTTGACTATATAAAATAAATTAACAATATACATAAGCAAGAGCAAAAAAGGCAAACTGGTTTTATTTTGAATGCTTGCTAATAGTCGATTTTACATATTTAACTATTATGCGTTTGGAACAAAAACAAAAAGAAGAAATGTATACACATTTGCTTAAAGCAAAAAATAGCGACTAATGCATAAGCGATAACGTTGCACATATTCCAAACGCATAATAGTCAAATATGTAAAATCGACTATTAACAAGCATTCAAAATAAAACCAGTTTGTCTTTTTTACTATTGCTTATGCATACTGTTTATTTATGTTTTTATGGAATGCAATAGCAATATTTATGCAATAGTCAAAATTTGCTTGCTTTTGCTATTTCTCAGCAAGCAATTCAAACCCTGATTTTTATATTTGTAGATATGTTGTTAATATAAAAAAAAAATAGACAGTTATTCCAATAGAAATACATTTTTACTAAAATTTTGTACGGAAGAGAATTAAAAGAAATTTTGTACACTCACTAGCATTAAAAGATTATTCTGCAAACATCTAATAAGAATACTGCCAGCAAAGATATTTATATTTTATAAATTTCTTCATTGAGTTCAAATCTCGTTTAATATGGAGAGTCGCACCAGTGGATAGCCTTTTGTTTAGTTCTGATTTTCCCGATAAAAGAAAACAAAACGTTGGTAAAATAAAAATCAAATAATTTAAAAAATTTAAATAGATCAATTTTTGTTACAAACTCAAATTCTAAATAACATGTTTTAAAATATATTAGCACGAAGGAAGTTCATTATGTTCTTCTCCTAAATGAAAGTAAGGATTCTGATTAACAATCAGAAAAAAATTCAATTATTGAAGTATTGTAAGATACTTTAAAGCGAATGTGTGCATATTGTTATAAAAAGACAGGAGTATCCTATACACAAATCCTCAATGAATTTGTTTCCATTGCTTGCGTAATAAAAGTCTAACAGAGCGCTTAGATAACGTTTTCAATTCCTTTATTAAATATTTTAATTTGAATGTTAACAGAAACGTTACTTTCTAAAGTTCATGACTTCAAACGTATGTCGCTGCCCTGCACAAACTCTCATATGAGAATGAAGTCATTTCTGCTATTCAATTAAATTCAATCAAGAAATTATAGAAAACAATATGAATGACACTAAATTGAAAGTATATACTATAGGAACAGTGCAGGAGAGCTATGTTCCTATACTTTCTGTATATTTAACTACATACCTACTCGTACTCGTGAGGCCGAAAGTCTTGAAGTATAACTGCATTGTCTTTGTGAACAAAAAACTCATGTGGGCAACTTATCTCCCCAAGCTTTTAAATTAAGTCAATTAAATAGTTTAAGGAGGTCATGCATAAAGTAAATACATATATTGCAGCGCATATTACACAAGCGTTTATATATTCGTCGTAATTGCTACTAACAATTGGGTGAAAAGATCACATTAGCTCAAATTAATTGAGTGTTATGGTTATGAAATGCTGAAGAATATGATACATAAGTTGTATATTTGACATTACTGGACGGCTTGATATTAAATTGCAGTCATAGTCGTGATCGCTGAAAGGAGTAATTTGATATTGTCAACTGAAGAGCTGTTCCACACATCTCTGTATGCTTTCTAATAAGTGCATATGTACTATAATTCATTACTAACGATATTATCTGAATGTGGTAAAAAGTTATATTTTACTGTGTATTAATTATTAATATCCTTTTACTAATAATGTATTATTTACTAAGACTATTTTCATTCGAATATAACATCAAATTTATGCACCGATTCCTTAAGTGTGCATTTTTGGTAAAATGACGTTACTCAAGTGCCTTTAACATCCGTCAGTGATAAACTTTTAACAATAATAAATGACTCCCACTTAGTGGAGTGTATTAAAATTCAGTAGTTACAAAATGTCTTGAACTGGATGATAAATTAATGTGCTTACATGGCAAATACTTTTGTATGTGGCACTTGCACGGAAGCAACCATCTGCTGGGCAAGTTATGTTCATTTTCTATTTAAAAGAAAAAATTAGCTGAAAACACCCGATTGAATTTAGGTAAGTTCTTTGGATGCATTTGCCCACATGACTGTATGTTGTTTACTAAATTTGCTACAAAAAAAATCTAACATTTGGATAGTTGTATGCATAAATCTGCGTTATTCTGTGTTATTCAAAACGAATACGAAGTGAATTTTATAGTATTTTATCGTCCTACTTTGTATATGAATTGGAAGAATTCATATTAAGCATTAACTAAATTAATATATCATTTTGAATATTATTTTTGTGAAAAAAATATTTTTGTGAAAAAAATATTTTTATTTCTAATCCTATGTGAGACTTAGTTCTAACTAATAGATATTCAAAAAAATTAGAAAGTAAAAATAGAATGAATGTTAGAATTTTAGTAAATCAAGCAGTGGATGAAATGCATTTAAAATAACGGTCGTAGATTTGTGAATATTTATACTACTGTAATAATAAATTGTAATACTGTTATTACAATATTTGTAAACGGTTTTCCAAATCTCTGCAAAATGAAAAGTAATTATTTCCTTAGTTATATTTAATATTTATATAACAAATTGCATAAATTTATATATAATTTATATAAGAATTGTCATTTTTATATGATTCACACATTCTCGAATATGATCAGCATCATTTTCTCAGCATCTAATTGATGGGACTACTTAATATCAAAATCTTTTTTGTTTTGTTCTTTTGTTTTATGCGACCGTTCTGTATGTAAGCTTTTTGCTTCAAAAATAAATAAAACACCTTCCACCCTCTTCTGTAAGATGTGGATATTTCATTTTTTTGAATCAAGTTTTTATACGCCGATACTGATGTGCTTTGAGCGAAAATAAGTTTTACCTTTATTACAATTGTCTGCCCATATCCTACGTATAGTTTTCGAGTGAACATTGTACATATGGATATTTCATACAAGCATATTTTTCTTTAAGTGTGATCATAAACAGTACTAAGAATTATATTTATGTTTTACATTCGTAACTCCGTTAAAAGTCATTAACTCTCGGATTCGAAAACTTCAACTTTTCAGGTATTGTTTCATTGATTGATGCACTCAGAGAGTAATTGATACGATCGCATGGACACATATATATGCATATTTACATGCATAAACAATAGATTTCAACGATATTGTGAAGCGTCAGCACCGATGAGTAATAATTACAGAAAAACCCAGCGAACTCTTACAAAATGCAAAAGAATATACTCCATAAATGAATACCTACATTTTTGCAGGAAACTCAACTTCAAATTAGTTTACGGTAACTCAATACAACAACACAACAAAAAGTATGATTCATTAATATAATGTGGACAACTGCGTTTTGCTTTGATCTAATAATGACTAATGACAGTCAATATTAAGGTGCGAAGAGTCTCTGAGATCC